GGGGTATTGAGGGCTTGAAGCAGGGCTTGATCGGGGCAGTGGTTAAGGGTCAAGGCAGCGATCTCCACATCCGCCCTCTAGCAACCTCTGCTGCCGCCACGGGCTGGCCGCGCAGCTTCACACCGCCCAGAGGGTCGTCCATGGGCTCTGCAGCTGCTGTTATGAGCCATGGCCGCCACTCACACTTGTTGTTGGTGCACATGTCGAAGTCGAGCTGCGCGTTGGCCTGCTTGGTGAGCTTGTAGAGGCACACCTTGCGGCTGAACACGGTGGTCTTGCCCAGGGGCTCAAAGGCCTCGGTGTAGGCGGGGGTGGTCTTGACGCCGGCGGTGTTGTAGGTCGCCAGGATTGTAAGGCACACCTGGCCCTGAGGTTCCAAAAACGGCGTGGCAGGGAGTGGATTGGGCGGATGGCGTTGGTTGCGGGACAAGGGCAGAGATGGCCTCCTGGACTCTGGTGAACACGCAAGCCGCCGCTGGTAGACGGCGGTGCACGTACGAGGCACGCCGACTTCGGCGTAATGCACACCTGCGGTGCGCTGGTTAGCATCCGCTCCCGATTTCGCCGCTGCACAGAACCAAACCACTCACGTTGGCGAGGTTGTTGGGCAGGGCGATCTTGTAGGCGGTGGCGCCGCCCTCGAGCTGCACCTTCTCGGCGGCCTCGGCGGGCTCCTCACCCAGCTTGAACTTGACGTCGCCCGCAAGCTTGCAGGTGCCGCCGGCGTTTACGGTGAAGGTGGACTTCTCAGAGGGCTCGGCAGCCGGGCCGGCGGGGGCGGCGGCCGCGGCAGGGGCAGCAGCAGCGGGGGCCTCGGCGGCGGGGGCGTCGGCAGGGGTAGCCACGTCGTTCGCGCCGTCGGGCGCCACGCCGGCCTCGGGCTCGGCGTCGGGTGCCGCGGCGGTGGGGTCCTCCGTCGGGTCGGCGGCGGCCTCGTCGGCAGGGGCGGCGTTGGCAGCGGCGGGGGCGGCAGCCGCCTTCACGGGGGCGTCGCTTGCCGCGGGCGCGGCCGCGTCGGCCTGCATGAGGCGGCGCGGCAGCGGCACCGCAGCAGTGGGCTTGCCCGCGGCGGGCTGAGGGGTGGAGGCGGCGGCGGCCTGCGCGCCGCCGATGGGCACGAGGCCGGTCGGGTACTCCAAGAGGCCGGCGTCAGGCTTGACGTTCACGCCGGCGCCGGCGGTGTCGCACCACGCGCCGGGGACGAAGAACAGGGTGGGGCCCTTGGGGAAGTAATCGCTGACCGCGATCTTCAGCAGGCCGCCGGCCTTGGCGTTGCCGAGCTCGGGGTAGGCGGTTTGGGAGGCGAGGTGCCACGGGGAAGGGAAGGAGCAGTCGCCGTTGGCGCACGCGACCTTGGCGGGGCCGCCCAGGGCGCTGACCTCGCTGACCACGTTGCTGGGGAAGAAGTTGAAGTCGCTGGCAGCGGAGGCTGCGCGATGCAGCGGGTGGCAGGGCGCGTGCGGCACACGTTCGAGGAGGAGGGACGGAGGAGGGGTGTTGCGCCTGGGCGGCTGCATGGTCAAACACCTCCCTCGTCGCGCGGCTGCCGTAGTACAGCTGACCATTGCACGGGATCCACGGGTGCAGAGTATACTCTTCAATCTCCAACATTGATGCAACAACACGCCGCTGGGTCAGGCGTGAACGAGGCCTGCGGCACTCGCCACGAGCCTCCGCGGACCCCATGACCCCCGACGGCCCAATGCTATGGGTTGGCATGCATTAGCTGCCATATTTACATATCAATGAACTTCCTCTGCCGCTGGTTCACCCATGGCACGCTGGAGGTGGACCGTGATCGCCAACCACCCTGCGACCCGCACCCTCACTGACGCACCTGCCGCCACCATGGCCGCCAGAACGCACAAGCTGATCACCCTCATGACTGCCCTCGCTCGCCTACGGTCAGGCGGAGTGGTCGGGGGTGGTTGCTGCCACGGAGGGACGTCGAACGTCGGTGAAGGCTGCGATCAAGCCTTGCAGCAAAGGCCAAATTGGCGTATTGTTTCTGAATAAAGCTTCACCGGCCGTGTCAAACTCTTTTGTACCAAACTCATTGACCATTTGACGGCGGGCAGCTGCCGACCATCTGGCAGGCCCCTCAGTTGAGTCATGGAGGGGGCATGTAACAGTAAGACTATTTTAGCGCGTTGCGTTGCAAGGCCAGGATGTCTCCAGCTGCAACACAGCCGTTGCAAGCCGTACTTGCCCCCAGCTACAAGTCCATGACTGCGTGCAGCGGCCAGGACACGACATGTGACACAGCGCATGTGCAGCAGCAGCAAGAAGAGCAGGGCGCCGAGCGCACCACTGCACCTGCCAAGCCTGTCACGAGGTCTGTCAGGGGTCTATACATGGCCAGCTACGACCTTGTTGGTGCCTCCAGTTTGACGCGCTGACAGCCCCTGGCCGGGCAGGGCGTGCTATGATTGGCTGGGGTCGAAGCCAATGGAAGCGCTTTGTTGCGCTGTTGCTCCACTGTCCCCGATGCGGCCATAACACATCTCTACAAAATCTACAGCTGAATCATATCTTGACATCGCCGCTCAGCCCCTCAGCAGCACGCCAGCGAACCATGGACAGACGGGGGCACTCATTGTGACTGGTGAGCAAGTAGCTGAAACTGCCGAGCGGGGATGCCTGCACGGAAAGGGAAGGCCACGTATCCAGATGCAATTTTCGGAGGTGTGCGTTATATTGCGCTTTGCTATGCCTGATCTGCTCCGCAAGGTTTAGAGCGGTGATCTGGGCAGCAACGATGGCATAGAAGTCGTTCAGCAGCGGACTGTGGACTGGGTGGTGTTAGGTGGTAATCATGGCATCGGGCTTGCGCGCGGAAGCAGGTGCGAGGGTGGCGCCCGGCGCACCATACTAGCTGCATGCTGCCCAGCTGCTGTTCTGCCGTGGCACCGCCCCGTGTGGCGCGGCCTACAACCACCGCAGCCACAGCTGCGGCCGACCTTGCGGCTGGAAGCTGGCGCCAACGGCCTGGCAACCTCCAGCATCCACCCATATGGCACCATGACCCGCATGCGCAGTCGGCGACTGGGAGGCGGCCGGGGCTCAGTTTTTTTCAAAGGAGCAGCTCTATGACATGCAGTGGCAAGACATAGACCTGGAGAGCAAGAGGTGACATATCCTTCCAACCGGCGTCGCAGGGGCATGCAGGCACCAGGGAATGCGCCGCCGAAACCAGGGTTGCATCTGTTTCGTGCGATTGCGTGGGCCGTAAGGAGCGGCAGCGACACTGCCATCGAGAAGGCAGCGTATGTAACCCAACGTCCTCTGCCTGCGGACTTGGTCCACCGCCTGCCGCAGGATCTGCTGCGCGCCGTTTGGCGGCCCCATCGCCACCGTCCGCGACGAGCAAGCCATGGTGGCCGTCCGCGGCGCAGGGCTGGGGCGGCCAGTGGTGCGGCTGTTCAGCGCGGCGGGCGTGGAAACGGGCAGCTTCCTGTGGGAGAAGGGTGGCATGGCGGGGTGGGGCTGGAGCGCCGAGCAGGAGCTGGTGATCGTGGAAGCTACTGGGAAGGTGCGGGGGGACAGGAGGTGGTGTCTATTAGAACTTGGAGTTTGGATGGGATGGGGGTTGTTTGTCGGGCCTGGAAAAAGTGAGGCAGGATGGGTGGTGCCGGGTTGCCCAAACGCATGGATCGTGCATGCGGCATGAAGGGCGCGGGCAGTGGAGTTGTGGTCCGGTATGCAGGCGGGGGCTGCAGCGCAGGGATGCTGCAGGGCGCCCTGGTTGGGGGCCGGTGGCTCCGCTCTAGGGTTTGAGAGGGTCAGCAGACAGGCCTGTTGGCCGCAAGGCAGATTCAGTGCCACATTGGCAACTGATTTGTTAGTCGCGGCTGCAGCAGCAGCTGTTATGTGCAAGCAGGGTGCTGTTCTAGGCACCCCCCTTCCCCCCCACACACACACCACTCGCGCGCACAAACTCGCTCATGCGTGCGCACCTGCATACCCCCATGAAATTAAACACACAAGCACAACAACACGTGTGCACACGAGCACGCACATGCAGAGCAGCTGCTGTGCTCGTGTCAGTTTGTTACATGCACCCTGCGTCTCTCACTCGACCAAATGCATGGGCGCACTTCCCGGATCGACCCAAACCTCAGGTCAGCTTTTACAGCCTGCAGGGCGTCCGCCTGCCGAAGGAGCTTACCTTTGGCCCCGAGGTCGAATCGGAAGGCGTAGGGGCGGTCCACATCTGGCCAGACGGCATCGTGCTGATGTCAGCGCTGACTCAGCAGCTGTGGGCCTCGGTCGGCCTTCGGGAGCCGCGCGCGTCGCGGCTGGCGCCGGTGCCGGGCGTCACCGCCGGGGCGCCGTCGGCGGCGGCGGCGGCGGCGCGGCCGGGGACGCCTGGCGGGAGGGATGCGGCGGCGGCGGTGGCGACGGGGACGGGGCCGGCGCCGTTGGCAGGTGGGTTTGCGTAAGCGGGCTGATCGGGACCCCCAGAAGCGGCAAGAGTAAGCCCGACGCCAGTCCAGGCCCTGCGTTACCCTGGACGGCGACGCTCCCGGCACCGCTCCCACACCCGCGTGTGATCCCCTGGTGGCCCCTGAACCGAGGCAGAAATCCCAAAGCATGACAATTGGCACCGATGCGTGCGTCATATGCCGCTGAAGTCGGCGCTGTCTCCCTCTCCCCTTCCTTCCGCTGCAACGCGCCACACCCCGAACACTTCTCGAAACTCCAATCTCCCAAAAGGCGTGACCAGCGCACAGCTGGCCGTAATAAGGCCCGAGGAGAGCCTGTCACTCTGCCTGGAGGTGCTCGTTGCAGCGGGCGGCGCGGTGTGGGTGGTGGACGAGCGCTCCGCCACCGACCAGCGCCTCCCGCCGGGCGCCGGCGGCGCCGCGGCGCTGGCGGTCGCGCCGGGCGGCGGGTTTGTGGCGGCGTTTTGCGAGGACGGGCGGCTCAGGGTGTTCTCCAGCGGTGTGTCTTGCGGGGCGCGGGCGCTTAATTTTGAGGCCACGAGCTTGCGGGGTTGAGGATGCGGGTGTTGCCGCGCTCACCCTGCTTGCCGAAAATTGGATCAGTGCGGCAGCTGGATACTTGGGGGCGAGAGGTGCAACGAGCAAAGGAGGGTCGCACACTGGGAAGTCCCCATGTGCCAAAGGCGCGTCGATCCTACAGCACTCACCACCGCGCGCAGCCCCCACGTCTCGCCCCTTTCTTGGCTTGTGGCCCTTCCTGTCAAACCCCCCCCCCCCCCGTTTGCCTGCCTTCCTTGCCGCATAATCTGCGGCCCCCAGACTTTGGCCGCATCATATCCGAGTTCGACACCTCCAGCGCCGTCGCACCCCTGGACCTGGCGTGGTGCGGCGTCGACGCGGTGGCGCTGCGCTGGGAGGGGCTGCTGCTGCTGGCGGGGCCCTACGGCGACTGGTGGGCGGGCCCTGGGGCCGGGCTCGTGTTTGGAGCCGTGGAGGCACCCGGGACGTGTTTGACGGTGGCTAGTGTTGTCTTTTTGCGAGAACACGGCGCAGCTGAGGGTGGTTTGGGTTGGACGGCGGCGCTGCAGGCTGTTATGCCGCTTTTTTGTGTGGTCGCACTGAGGCACTGTATTGTGCGGCCTGCACACGAGCGTTCCCTCCCGCCCCCGGGCAGCTCGCACAACCAAACAAGCTGCAACTCAACACGCCGTTGGCTCCGGCTGCCTTCCATTTGCATGTCTTCTATATTGAAAGGCTGCGGCTGCCCGCGTCGGGCCCCATGGCGCTGGTGTCTGAGGTGGACGGCCTGAGGGTCGTGACGGAGGCCACGCACATGCTGCTGCGGCGCGTGGCGGAGCCGCTGCTGCAAGTGCGGCCGGCGACGCGCGATCCTCGCTCTCTTACGCACCCAGGCACACACGACACACACTGCACCAAAAACGCGCTTGCCCAGCCCCCCCAGCGACTTGATTGCGTTGCCCCCCCCCCCTGCTGCTTTGCGGCAACTGCTTTTGCCATCAGCGAACATCCATTCATAGTCAACACACACATGTACACACATCACATACACACACACACACATCACATCACGAGCACACACATACACACGCACACGCACAACCCCAAGGTCTACCGCCCGGGCTCCACCGCGGCTGCGGCCACGCTGTGGGATGCGCGTGACCTCTACGACTCCGGCTCAGCCAGGGCTGACAGGCTGCTGCGGGAGATCCAGCCGCAGCTGCAGGAGGCCGTCGAGGCGTGCATCGAGGCCGCGGGTGGGGCGGGGACGTGGGCGGACGGCGGAGGGTGTCCTGGGCCTGTGGTGTGGCGCGGGAGGGGGCGCCCTGGCTGCAATCTGTTTTTTTGGGAAGCAGGGGTGGTGGCGTGTTGCTGGTTTCATTGCCAGGGATGGAGCAGAACCCATGCTCAAAGCACCTCGGGCCACCATGACCTGATCCATGCACCACACAGGGTAGCCAGCACCCAAGGGCTGTGTGGGGTGGTAGCTGCAAACCCAGTGCAATTATCAGCGACTCCTGCGCCGCCGCCGCCACCCTCTCCGCCTCGCTCAGGCCTGGAGCTCAACGTGCCCCGCCAGCGCGCCCTCATGCGCGCCGCCGCCTTCGGCCGCGCCTTCGTCCCGCCGTTCTTCCCGCCGCTGCTCATGCGGGAAGCCGCCCGGAAGCTGCGCGTCCTGAACGTGGTGCGGGACGCGGCTGTCGGCATCCCGCTGACGATGCCGCAGCTGGAGGCGCTCACGCTGCCGGTCCTGGTGTCGAGGTGCGGGGTGAAGGCAGAGGCATTGAGACGTCTGTGACCTGGGCCGGCTCGGGGTCTGGGGATCCGGGCACCCCTCACACAGAGGCGCTTTCAAAGGCTGCCTGGGGCAGAAGCGAGTTGGGGGTAAAAAGGTGTGAAGGGGGTGAAGGGGCTGCCCGTGAGGGCTTGCCTGGACCTGCATGTGCGGCTTTGGGGGAGGGG